CCTTCTTACTCAAAGTCTGCATCATAGTTCCTGAAAGATACAATGTAAATGTTAAAATATGCTAAATTATTTTGCTTAATACTTATGATTATGATAATTATTATGATTTTGCTAAATATAAAATTTATAAATAAAAAAACTTAATTTAATTTTAATTAACTAAGAAAATATTGAACTTTGTGTTGATATATTTTTTATTAATTCAGTTATGAAAACTACTATAAATGTCATCTTGTTTTGTGAAAATATATATTTCATAGTTTTCTCAAAAATATTATATAGAAAGATAATTACCAAGTTTGTTATGTCCTATTGGCGCATTGCTGAACTTCTGTATACTATTCCACTTGTGTTCACTCTCTGGAACAGATATGGGCACTCTGAATTCAGCTGACGCTTTTACTCAACAAATGACTGTACTGGACACAGGATGCTGTTTGAAATATTAACACCAGTATTTTACAAATTATTCATACAATAACAAAATTAAGGTTCATGTAAAATATAATCATGAGGACAGATAGAAGATGAAATCCTTTGTAATTTGCATTGTGTATGGAGTGTTTATAAAATAAAAATTGTATATTTATTGTCGATATAATAACATTTATTATCTTTGTAATGTGTAATTTACCATATTTAAAATTTGATATGACAAAAACTGTTTGATGCAGTAATTATACAACATATAAAAACATACCTTTAATTTCATGCATATGACCTTTCGCAGTATTTGTATCATCTTGATGATTCTTAGTTTTTTCATCAGTTTTGATGTAGATATAGCAGCTACCTTCCGCATCTGTTGTCAGCCAGAAGTCAGAAGATTTCAGGTCTCGCATGTTTTCCCTACCTCTTCGTCCAAAATATAACATGACATCAGCAAACACCTTTTCCTTGAAAAAATAAGAAATATGCAAGTAATAAATGAACAAACTTTAAATTAGCCAATGAAAGAGACAGACTGACAGATTGTACGTATCAATAACAAAAAGAAATGGATCATTACTCTATCAAATTCTGTATAATGGTAGTCTAGAACATTTCTCACTTATGCACTTTTCATTTATTTTTTTTTGCGATTCTTATAGTTCAGTGTATTAGACTCTACTGTATTCATATAATTATAGAAGATCACATAAATTATAAGTCCGCTTAGCTTAATCGGTAACGCTATGGACGTAAATATTGATTTTAGTAACGTTTTTTCGTACGATGAGGGGTTCGCACCCTAAGCAAGAAGGTTTTTTTAATTCTTTTTTTGTTTTATTCTTTTGCTTTTCATATTCATATATGACCTACACAGTTAGTATAAGGTTAGTATAATATGGTTAAAATACATGAATGCAGAGTTGAGATGATAATATCATAAAATTATACATGCACTGTTATAATTACCTGTAATCTTTCTGGATTTTCCAAGTCTTCCGTGAGATACGAGGACAGTTTGCGAAGGTCAGCTGTCTCCAACGGTGGATGATGATCCGTACCACCTTTGCCTTCATCTTTCAGCTATGCAAGCATGGATTTGAACGCCAATTGTGATTTCTTGAATTGAACGTCATTGACAATGTCGGAATGTTTACCGCTGTTCTCTAAAAATCGGTTAATTCCATGTCTAATCGAAATATAACTGTTCTTTTTGTACAAATCCCCTCTGGCTGTGCGAACTTCAAAAAAAGAAACGTTCCAAAAGTTCATCCAAATCGTAGGCTGACAAATCTGTCCAAACAAACTGTTCATCGTAGCCTTTTTCCTCTAGATACGACTTGAAAATCCTCATAAAAGCATCCGTGGATCTTTTCGTAGTTACTGCTTCCCTGTCACTAATTATCTTTCTTTTATCGCCGTCAGAAAGGGTTGGAAAACGTTTATTTTTGTTTGGTTCAGAGCCAGCTCTCTTTTCCGAAGCCATAGCAGAAGTAATGATTTGGTTACCGTATCGATTTTTGCACGCGTAGTTAACAGTCTATTATGCAGGAAACCAATCGTTACGAGTCTGATTCTATTTTTAGATTTGGAAAATCCAATTTACCCAGTGAATATGATACTTCACCCAGTTAATATGATGTTATGATTTGTGCTATCGACTTCAGTTTGGACCAATGAGATTACAGCTATTTTAAGATCATATAATAACGTTTTCGCTGAATGGAAAGCAAATTGGGACAATGCCGTTTTTAATAAACTTCACGATATAAACCCTTCTCTTGATATGTCACCATCTCTATCTCTGTCAAGCCGCCGTGATCAAACAGTTCTTCTTCGATGCCGAATTGGACACACTAAAATTACCCACTCTTATCTCCTCACAAATGATAATGCCCCTTTCTTTGTAGGTTGTAATGAAAATTTTACTGTCAAGCATTTTCTTCTTGAATGTCATGATTTTTCACAGGCCCGACTGTGAATGCCAGCCGAAATTGCCTAAAAATGTGTCAAGGATGGGCTGGAAGACAGGTCGTAGAATCGTGGAGTTTGATGTTCTTCTTTCTGGTTTAAAGAGTTGTAAATTCTGTAGTCTTGGACCAGTTCCACTGACGCTTTTTAACATTGTGGGCGAGTTACAGAGGGGTCTTGGGGGATATCTTTATGTGAAATGTACAAATAATGACTGTGAAGAAATTAACATTGTTCCTTACGGGAAGACACATCGTCGGGAAAAGTCGAAGGGAATTCCAAGTTTTGTTGTCAACACGAAGCTGGGAACCGGTATGTATTTTAGACGATTAAGTTAAGTCTTTTTTTAATAAATAAATAAAAAACCACGTATACAGCTATTGTTTTATTGTATATGATACCAGTGATTAATTACATTGACAGTTTTTTTTTCTGTAAGTGTAATCAATTAATTTTAGCAATAAACTGCACCGTTACATCATTCATCATGTCTAAATCCCATCTGTACATGATTTCTCTGTACTGTTACACTCCCCCCAGCTTTGTCACGAACTACAAGAACTTATTAAATGTCCAGCTGTTTATGATGACATATATCACTATCAGTGAATGTCATGATTTTTCACAGGCCCGTAATAGATTTTATTCTGTAAATTCACTCAAAGAACTTTTTAATACAATTCCATCAAAAAACATAATTGATTATTTAAAAGAGATAAGCTTGTATTCTAGGATCTAATTGGCTCATTTCTATTGTCATTTACAATTTTTTACATAATATTTTAAGCCTATTATAGCATTCGGCACGATATGGCCAGTTATGTGTTGACGTGCCGTAAAAATCCAAACAAACAAAAAATAACGTTTAATAATAACTAAGAGCATATTGGATGTTCCACAACTAAAGAGTGTGGAACTGAACGTGCAGTGAATTGTTATAAATGTAGCATAATGTAAACAATACAAAATACTAATTCACTTTAAACCTTTTAACAGTACAATTTTTCAATAGCAACGTATGTTGCATTTCGCGCATGCGCATTCTGTGTAGGGCAAAAGCGCAATAACGATAGCATACATTCAGCGCACTTTAAGTCTTTAAAAGGCGTGATTTCAAGTTATGTCACTTAGAAAAAAGAATTTTGGGATGAATTAAAGCGGTAAGTACTTTAAACGTGAATTGATTTATTTTGTTTGTTTGTTTGTTTGATTTTACGCCTTTTCCCAACAGTATTTCAGTCATATAGCCGAGAATTGATATTTATAACAGATATACAAAATAAGCGGGACTTATAATTCAACGACCAAAAGTTCTCTGTTCAATGTATCATTTGGTGACTTTTTCATCAGTAATTAAAATTAAAACAGCAGGGTGTTAACGATCATGTATTACATACTATTACACAATTGGTATTTCTTTGAAAGTGGATTGGCAAGGCGGTAAGTGTCAAACAGATTGACACGTGACTGGTTGTTATTTTCCAGCTACTTAACAATATCATTCAACCGGGTCGTTTTAGTACCATGACATAGTTAATTACTAAAACATTTGAAACTGATTAATCGTAATTTAAGTAATTTTTATTTATACCAATCTGATCAGTGTTTATTGACTTTGTGAAGTGACAAATAGTGAACGTGACGTGCATTTACATGTGTAACAAGGAACCGGACAAAATGCGTGTTATTCTACAACCATTTTAACTTCACAAGAGTTTGAAAACTTATTTAAATATATACTATGTGACTTAAAAATGTTCTGTTTGGCATTTCAGTCAAGTTGGATAAAGGATAAAATTAGCTTAACTGAAAACTAAAAATGCATTATATCACGTGTTCCGACTATTTTTCAGAATGATATTTAACCTCGATTTTAAATGTTTATAAAATATATAAAAATGTTATATATTATATGTAATAATTTTTTTTTTAATATGGACGTTTTGAACAACAATTAAATTGACTTCTTTATTTGCTAATATATATATTTCCACATATTTTACAAAAATTATCTCAATGTCAGGTCAGTGATCGTAAGGGGGAATCCTTAAACAATCGTCTTTCCAATGCCTTTTTGTGCAATCTTGGCCAAAAAGCTATGAAGGCATCTTTCGTGTTTCTGTTAAAAGCTATTTTATATGATTTTCTATTTTTTACCTTAAACAAACTCGGAATTGTGTATGAATGTCTACTTCCTTTCTATGTAGGGCATGGCTTTTTTCGTAAAAAGGTCTATAGTTATACCAATTGCCAACTGAGAAAAGTATATTAAATAACTATTATTTTGAAACTGTAACAAAATACAAAAATTAAGGTCTTAGACCCATCATTAGATCGTGAAATTTCGCCTAACTCCGCCCTTCCTCGTAACGGTTACGGAGGTACTTCGGGATTACTCGGCTTAGGTCGGCTTAGTTATTCTCTAAAAAATATAAACGTTACAAATTGCGTTTTCGTAAAAAGTATTGTAAACAAAAATTAAATAACTGCTATTTGTTTGGTATATTAACAATATAATATCCAAATTCCCAACGATTCGTTGAAATTATCGGATGTTTGAAATCCACCACTTTGTTTAGAGATTATATGAAAAGTCCTTCACCGTAAATGTCAAAATGAAAGTCCGCGATAAAACAGGCCGTTACAAGAAAGTTGTGAATTCTCGGCGATTAAAGAAACAGTCGAATGTTATAGAAGATCACAATTATGTTGGAGCACATTTGTGTAATGGACAAGACTGTGAATGCCAGCCGAAATTGCCTAAAAATGTGTCAAGGATGGGCTGGAAGACAGGTCGTAGAATCGTGGAGTTTGATGTTCTTCTTTCTGGTTTAAAGAGTTGCAAATTCTGTGGTCTTGGACCAGTTCCACTGACGCTTTTTAACATTGTGGGCGGGTTACAGAGGGGTCTTGGGGGATACCTTTATGTGAAATGTACAAATAATGACTGTGAAGAAATTAACATTGTTCCTTATGGGAAGACACATCGTCAGCAAAAGTCGAAGGGAATTCCAAGTTTTGTTGTCAACACGAAGCTGGGAACCGGTATGTATTTTAGACGATTAAGTTAAGTCTTTTTTTAATAAATAAATAAAAAACCACGTATACAGCTATTGTTATATTGTGTATGATACCAGTGATTAATTACATTGACAGTTTTTTTTTCTGTAAGTGTAATCAATTAATGTTAGCAGTAAACTGCACCGTTACATCATTCATCATGTCTAAATCCCATCTGTACATGATTTCTCTGTACTGTTACACTCCCCCCAGCTTTGTCACGAACTACAAGAACTTATTAAATGTCCAGCTGTTTATGATGACATATATCACTATCAGTGAATGAGTGATTATTTACAAATTTATGTGTGAATATGTGTGAATAAACCTGTAACACATTTTACTGTAAGTAAGCTGTATTCATATTGCACATGTACTAACACTTATGCTGCAATACATACATAAAAACTGTGGCATTATCCTTTCAAAATACCGAATAACAATAATAGGTCGAGCGTACTGCTGTGACCATTCATGTGACCATTCGTGGATGTTACATCAAGACATATAATATTTGCCAATTTAATGATAAGATTTAGATGTAAATGGTTTCAATCAAACATTTTGCTTCATTACTTCTATTGTTTGGTATTTTTTAGCAATGATTGACAGTTTAGGTGGGCCCGTACGTGTAAATAACTTCCTGGCATCATTGAACCTGAAGCCGATTAGTAACAAAAACCTAAAGACCATGGAGAGACGGGCTGGAAACATTGTTGAACATGTGGCCGACATGTCAACTCGCGAGGCAGCCAAAGATGCCTTCCATCAAGAAATGAAGTAAGTTTCAGATAATTGCTTGCATCAACAATTTTTAAATTGTTCATTTACATGGTCAATGAAAATGTGGATATTGAATGATGATTTGCTCTGGGAATGCCAAGCTATAATGCTTGTTTTCTTTGTATTGAACTGGATTTTCCCATGAATGATGGTTAGATGAACAGTCTGGCTGTACATTTTAAAAAATACTATTGTGAATGGGTGTTAGACTGAATATAACAAAACATTTAAATTTGATAATCGTATAAATATCATCATAATCAATTAACTATAAAGATGACATTGTCAACACAACAGGGTTCGAAAAATCCGGGCATTTCGAACCCTGACACATAACATTAAAATGTTTTTGTTTACACTCGGTCAAGATAGCATTTATATATCAGGGAAGTGGCTGAAGCTGAGTCCAAGAGAGCTGCTGACAGGATGGAAGGCCTTATCGAAGATCTTGGTGTATGTCCACTTCCAGATGTCTCCCCTAAACTAAAGTAAGTCTATTTACAGTCATATAGCATTTATAAAGATATCCATTATCATAAGCAGGAGCATAACAGATCTATAATTTATAAATTTTCACAGCTGAGAGCATTTTATTTACAAGTTTACTGTTCATTCCATTCTTATATATAGTTCTCACAGAATTTTGCTTATTATTTTTCTTTACTCGCTAGATTGATGTTACAACCTGACAACCAGGTGGATGATGATTGGACTGATGTAGATGAGGATAATGATGAAACTGATGATGTGAGACACTCCTCCGCTTTGAAAAGGTACAAAAAAGAGTACTAATATTGTAAACTGTCTGTCAAATCATGAAGTGAACCTTACTAAAAAGGACACAGGCCTTTGCAAACTGCTTGGAATTAGAGCAGATGCCAATTAAATCAGCATCTGGACAGGTTCCAAGCCATTCAGACACTATTTCTACCAATTGTTAAGAAAAATGGCCAAAAAAACATATACCAGACAACATTTAGCAGACAACATTTTTTTCCCAACATGTAAAGCGTTAATATTCTGACCCACATTCTGATAAAATAAGGAAAGCTTTTGTCTTTCAAAAATTACTTATTGGTGTTAATTGTAAAGTGTGGATATTTCTTCTGCATATTACAGGAGACGTTATCAAGTTAGAAAACATAAACATCCAATGCTGTCTCGGGCACAGAAAACACCATCAAGTCGAGTGTGTCTGGCATCGAAGTTCCCTTGTCACTCTAGAACAGGAATGTCTTGTGCGGTAGATACTGCCTGGCACAAACGTGGCTTTGACAGCTTGACTTGTAAGTAATAAGTTACCAGTTTAATCGCAACACCAGCAGTAGTGAAGAGTGTTTAAACACATACAAAATTTTAACCGTTAAGGCAATTTGCAATCGAAATGTACTTAGTTTGTTGTGATTGTGTATGAGGGGATAAAGATAGAGAGAGTAGGCAATGTTTTGATTAAGTGTTTGCTCTGAGAAGACTACCATCTTGGAATGTGAATTCTTATGTAATTTTGTTGTGATTAATGCTTCCAAGGGATCACTTTGTTTCCAGATTTTTTTTTCATGGTGGGTTCTAATATTTCTTGTTGCTTTTTGTAAATAGATGTTTAAGTTCTCCAACAGAAAGCAAAATGATACACATATGTCATTAGTTGTTCATATGTTAATTTTACAGCTCACACCTTCTTCATGAGCAAGGCACAGTATGGAAAGAAAGTAGTGAAAGCAGTCGTTAGTCATAGGACATGCGGAGTTTGCAAATGGTAGAAAAGGAATAGACCTTCAGAGGCAGTACGAAATCATCGTTGTGTTCATGATCACACAGGAAGTGCCAGGCTTATGGAAAGTGAGCGGGGTGTATTTGAGCTACACAAGGACGGAACCACTGTGGAAGTGATTGAAGGCGATGGAGATAACACCATGATAGCTCGTCTGAAATCCAAATCAAACATTAGCTTGAAAAAGAAATTTGACAGAAATCATATAGTGAAAAACATTGGAAAGAAGCTATATGCTCTTCAGGCGGACAAAAGCACAAAGCTCAGTAAGTTAGTGATCCTACACATTCAGAAATGTGTGAAGTATATTCTAGCAAAGAATCAAGGTGATCCAAAGGGACTAGAAGAAAATCTGAAAGCTTTAGTACCTCATCAATTCGCAGACCACACAATGTGCCAGCCTCGATGGTGTGGGTACAAGCGTGACCGCAGTGTTAAATACTCACACAGAAGCCTGCCCTACAAAGGACCGCTGAAGGACGACCACCTTAGATCTCAGCTAGAAAAACTGTTTGAACCAGTTGTGATGAAGGCTCCCCAGCTCGCAGACCTCGGTTCGAGTCAGCAGTGCGAGCATGCCAACAGAGAGGTCACCATGAGGGCTCCAAAGTCCCTTCATTATGGGAATTCAGAATCTTTGGATTTTAGAGTGAAGGCCACAGCAGCATTCATCAATGAAGGGCGTCACTACATTTCAAAGGTAAATCTCTTGTTACTGTTTAAGTTTGTTCTGTTTAGTTTGCTTGTTATTTTATTTACAAATGTTAGACCAGTACAGACATAGTTTTGAACAACAATTAAGAAAGTCATAACAACCTTTCATTTGTGGTATAGTAGTTCTGGAAACCCTGTTTCCTTGGTATTAATTGTTTTCAGTATTACATACTGTATATTTGTGAATTTTCATGCATAATTTTGGCAAACTTCAACCATCACTCGAAAAATAAAGAACATTCATAAAGTAATAAGCATTGATTTATATTTGAGAAAGAGAAAACAGTCTCTTTCAGATTGTTTAAGCCTTTGAAAAAAAATAATTCATGGAAGTGTATTTAGTTGGATGTATTGCCAAAATAATGTTGGAATGTTTGTTTGACGGTTGATTGATGTTAATTTTTTATTGAAGTTTGTTGTTTTTGTTCAGCTGTTCCAGTTCAGCACTGTTATTATTCAAGGAACAAGATGTTGACAGGTGACGATCATAAGGTAAATACTCTTTTATCTAGAACTTTGGAAAGATTGTCATTAATTTTCTGTTATGCTTTGTGCAGATAGGACCTGTATGCCAGTCAGTTTTATGAGACAAACAATCCACAAGATGACTTTTATATAAAGATATAAGCAATTGCTGTTGAAAATGTTGAGTGATAATGAAGAAAAATATTGCTTATAGACCACTATGCACCTTGATGGAATGTATTAAGTGTTGGTGTGAAAAGCAAACTTCAGTCTAATACTCCAACAACTTGAGACTGCAATACTTCTAAATTCTGTAATTCAGATTTTGGCCATATAATCACTGGTAATTTTGATATAATTGCAGACAAAAGAATTCGTAACTTATTCTTGAAAGGACCTAAATACAGAATTCCTTCTGAGATTGATTTTAATACTTGTCGTGGTCAGATTGCTGAATCTATAGAGGATTTTTCGGTCAAATGGTGTCGCCGTCGTGAAAATGCGGATAGTTAATGCTCTAGTTACATGGAAACGTAACATCTTTAAAATTATTGATTCACGTATTAATTTTTATCGTGGAAATGAAACATCTTTTGCCACCTAAACCAAGACTTACTTTAAGACATCTGAAAAAAAAGATATTCTAGCTTTTCATTCAAAATTTGTTTTTGGTGCCAGCGGACAAGGCGGCTAATAATATTATAATTGTTTGACGAATCCGTTACATTAACGTTTTTGCATAAGGAACTAAATAGCACTAATGCGTATTCTAAAAACATCTGCCTCCGAAAAAGACATTGTAAACAATCATATTACTAATTTTTCCAATCTTAAAGTCCAAATTAATGAAAAAGAACTCAAACTTCCTATTATGTATTGGATTCCTAAATTACATAAAAAACCTTACAAAGCCAGATTTATTGCTAATTCTACATCTTGCACTACAAGTAAAACTTTCTATTTTATTGACGTCTTGTTTGACTGCCATTAAAACACACATGTAATTAGATATTGTGATAAAGTCTATGAAAACACAGGCAAACATCTCTTTTGGTCAAATAAAAATTCTGGTGAAATCCTGGATAAATTCAAAATTAATAACTTTCAAGCTTCAACTGTCAGTACATACGATTTTCCTACACTTTATACAACTTTGCCACATAAATTAATCAATGATAAACTAATTTCCCTAATTCAGAAAACTTTTGCACGGGAAAAAGTTACCTTCCTAGCATGTAATTCGAACAAAGCTTTTTTTACTAACGGTATTGTTAAACATTATACTATGTGGACCTGTGACGAAGTTTGTAGAGCACTCTCTTTTCTTTTAGACAACATTTATGTCAGGTTTGGTAATACCCTATTTAAACAGATCATAGGAATTCCTATGGGTACTAATTGTGCACCCCTGGTCGCCGATTTGTTTTTGTACTGCTATGAAAGAGACTTTATGTTGAGTCTCTCTGAAGAGAAACAACAATATGTTATAGTCGCATTTAATAATACTTCCAGATACCTTGATGATATTTTTAATTTAGATAATCCTTATTTTGATCAAATGGTGTCTGACATTTATCCGCATGAACTACAACTTAATAAAACAAACTCTTGAAATTTTAGTACATCATTTTTGGATCTTCATATTACTATCAACAAACAATTTTATTCACACGAAAATTTATGATAAAAGAGATGACTTTGACTTTTGTATAGTTAATTATCCACATTTGGATGGAGACGTACCCCATGCAACATCCTACGGGGTTTATGTTTCTCAGTTAATTAGATTCGCTAGAGCTTGTAACAACGTTAAGGATTTCAACGAGCGGAATATTTTTATTACCAGCAAGCTTCTAAAACAGGGCTACCGCTATCATAAATTACGGAAATATTTTACTAAAATTTACAATCGTAACTTTGATTTAACTTCTAAATTCAATAGTGATTTAAAAACTCTTCTGCGACAAGGGATTAGCCAGCCTGGTTTTTATGGCGATGTGGTTTACAAACTTCGTAAGATTTTGGGTCATGGTAATTTTTCTGCTGTTTTTACTAAAATTATTAAACGTTTTATTAAAAGAGGTTATGACCCTACTATTTTAAGACATACTGCATGTTTAGTGTTCAACCCTTTTACAGTTGGACACTACGCTTTCCTCTTTTGATTGCATCTGACGGACCAAGTGGGAGACTCTATGATGGATAGTTTCGTAAAGCCCTTGTGACTAAATTGTCTTAATGTTCGTCTTCTTCCTTGCTTCGTCGGGCCCTGGTAGGTGATTTTCTCGTTGATCTTTTTTTTCATTTAAGACAATGAGTACTTTTGTAATGGTCACTAAGTTTACTTTTATATGTTTCTACATGATCATTTATGTTTCGCTTATTCACCTTGTGTATCTATAACAACTGTTAGAATTTGACTTGGCGGGGATTCATTTTATTTATATTGTCTCGTTTTAAAAGAACATGGTGGGGCTAAGAGCGAGGTTTGGTGCACCATTAACCGGTTTAAACTCCCCAGCAGTCATTATTATGCTGCTGACCGTTCCAAGGCGGCGCCCAACTGTGTTCCTCAGATGTATGTCTATGTTGTTTCATACTGTTTTGGTGACACTTTTGCTTGTGTCCCTTGTTGTTTTCTCGTCTACGGTAAGTATCTTCCCCATTGCCTCTAATTTTTATTTCTTTGATTAACCCCCCCCCCTTCCCACCGGGGGTCTCCTGTCCCCTTCCCCTTTGTGGGCCTATTATTATTTTCTTTGAATTCCTAATCAGTTACAAATTATTTATCATTTAATGATTAACGTGTCGTTGCCCTGTCCTTTTTATGTTTGGGGTCCGCCCGGGCTCCTTGCCATTGATTCTTGTTGCTGGGTCATATGGGGGTTGCGTTCATTGAACGCCGCCTTTCCTTGTTGATCTTGTTTTTCATATTTTATTGAATAATGGTGTTACTTTTACAAAAATCATAATGCAATTTTCCTCAACAATAGTAAAGATTTATGAATAGTTCCCATTTTATCTGAATTATTTTTGCCTGGGTTTATATATAGATCAAGAAAATTCTTTTCTTACAATATCCATGTTTGACTGAATATGTCATTTTAAAGTGTGCTAAATAATCTTATTACTGCTGTCAGGTACACTCCGAGGCAGGTCTTTCCCCTGGTGTCCACAGCCTCAGATATGCAGATAAATGCCAGAAGCATAGGAAGCGTGTCCAGGAAAGATCAGCACTGCCATCGACTAAGCGGCGGCGACTACAACTAAAACAAGAGCGGTCAATAACACAAGGTGCTCAAGAAGCTCTTGAAGGCATGTCCTATCAGTCAGGTAGGTAAAGTGATTTGTGCTGTTTTTTTTTTTACTTACAGAACAAACATATGAGCCGTGTCACGACAAAACCAACATAATGGGTTTGCGACCAGCATGGATCCAGATCAGCCTGCGCATCCATGCAGTCTGATCAGGATCCATTCTGTTCGCTTTCCAACTCTATTACAAGTAGAGAAACTGATAGCGAACAGCATGGGCTGGTCTGGATCCATGCTGGTCGCAAACCCATTATGTTGGTTTTGTCGTGACACGGCTCATATACATGTATTTTGACAAAATACTGTCAGTCTTGCAGGTACTGGTGTTTTCCTTCTTCTTTTCCTTCGAACATCATTAGGAGCTTGAAACTATAAACATTACTAATCAAAGTTTGCAAATTACCTTTTGTTTCCTTTTATAGGTTATATTCTAATCTATATAATTATTTGTATTTCAGAGATCGGGCATTCAGATGATGCTGACATCCAAAAGCTGCCAGATCCAGTCCCTCGTGGTGACTTCAAACCTATAGTGCTGCCAACAGGACAGCCTACATACATTGCTTTTGACCTGGAGACAACTGGCCTTAGTAAGTAGACCTGTATTGCAAATTTGTTGATATATATCATGTGAAAACTGTAACACAGTTGCTTTCATTTTAGGTTATCGTAATCAATACTAGGTTGAGTGATTAGTTGTCTCTTAAAATATAATTGTAAAAAAATATGCAATATATCAGGAATGGTTTATCCTTATTTGGAACAAGCTGAATTAGAATAAGATCTCAGATTATTATAAGAGCACATAAAACAGCTCAAAATTGTTTATTTATTTATAAATAATTGTGTTGTTTGTTTCAGTACACGATGGCCAGATCCCACATATTACCCAGGTTGCTGCCACAGAACCTAAAAGTGGGAAAGCTTTCAATATGTATGTTCTACCTACATTGCCCATATCTGACAAGGCACAAGAAGTGACCGGCCTAAGAATGGTGGATCACAAGATGCAGTACAATGGAACTAATGTAGAAGCTTATTCCATATATGAAGCTTTGAAATCATATTGTGATTGGTTAGAAAAATTTCAGAATGTTGTATTGGTTGCGCATAATGGCAGAAGATTTGACTTTCCTGTTTTGTTGACGGCATGTGACAATGTAGGATTGAGGGACAGAATGTGTAAGTGTGTTGCTGGATGCGCGGATTCACTGTCTATATTTAGAAAAGCATACCCAAACAGGAAGTCTTACAAACAGGAAGACCTTGCAAAGGATCTATTGGGAGCTTCATACTGTGCTCATAATGCTTCAGAAGATGTCACAATTCTTGGTAAACTTATTCACCACTTGGACATATTATCTGTTGATCTGCTGCCGCACACATTTTCAGCAAAATCTGTGTACAATTCCCAGTTGTGCAGTCGAGAAAAATCAAAGAATTTGCCGTCACTTAGAGTATTGATTTATAATAGTGTGTGTAAGTTAACTACAGCCGAGAATATTGCTGCATCCGGCTTGAACCTACAACATCTAAGGTGCATCTTTAAGCGCCAAGGCGAAGATGGTCTTCGGAACATTTTCGTGATGAAGAACTGTGACGGTCAGCCACGAGTAACTAATACTAAAAGAACATTAGAAACTGTTATCCCTGCCCTTGCACAGTATTTTTCAAGGACTTAGTGTGTGACATAGCATTTTTATATGATATACTTCTGTGTTGCTCCAGAGGTGATACTTTGGGAATAATACAGTTTAGTACACTGGTCGTGCTCTTTCTAAAGTCAGAACAATACGTTGAGATCCATTTCAAGTTGACATTTTTTACATTTACTCAGTATATACAGTAATTAACATATTTATAGAATGCTTAGAATATAGCTTCATGATAATTAGGTCATTTTGAGAATGTTTGATACTTTTCAAAATGTATTTTGAATTTTACATAAAGAAATGTGTACTGTTGATGAAAAATGACCAAAATCAGTTTATGGGGTTGTCAAATATAATGCTGTATATTTTACAAACAACATGGTAAATGATGTCTTTCTTTTCTTATTTTTCTCTTATGGTATGTTAGATAATTTCTATGTATTTCAATTGGCTGGACCTTGTAAGTAGGTTATAGAAAATTCTTAGAAAAATTGAAGTACAAGTCTACATTTTCACGATTTGGCCATTTTCTGAGTGACAATGGTAGCATATTTTTGTTTTCAGAAGTTTTATTGCAAATACTGTCACTCAAATGATATTTTATTTTGATAATATAATAAATGTACTACAATTTAGTACCAAATTTCTAATGTTTTTGCAATATCTGTTGAAAATAAGCTCATTTCTGTAGTTCAACTCTGGAAAATTTTACACGATCCAGAAAGGGAAAGGCCGAAAACATACACTTGGTCATAATTTTCTTATTAGATGGTAAAAGTCAATGAAAATTTGCAAACATGTCAGGCATGTAGCATAGATTCAATAAATATTAACATTCCATAGGTTCTAAGATATGTCAATGATGGGTCTAAGACCTTTAAAAAAAAAGGTTTTATAGAAAAATAAAAGCATGTCGGAGGGAAAGAGGCATAGTCGGTCTTTATATTATTTTTTTTCACGCGTAATTTTGCTTCTTGAATATTTGTTAATGCCCTCAAGGGACTTTCGTTTTTCAGAATCGTTTAAGCTGTGTCCTTAATACTACAAGTATGTTCTATTTTTGCCACATGCTGCCCCGTAATGTAATTTGTATTTGATAGTAATTAATCTTACTTCCATCCACGTAAACACAGCATACATACGTCAATGTAATATTTCGTAATGAAAAGCTTATTCATATTAGAAAAATAATTTAATAGTTCGTACTTACAGGGACAAAATTACACCACTTTATTCCTATTACTTAGGATGAGGGTAGCGGACATAATTTTTTTTACACAATGTTTGTATCAATTAACAAGGAATCTGTCAAACTAAGAAAATAACGAGGGCACATAGCGAGTCTTTAGATTATTTCCGCAGCTGTATTTGTCTGACATTTAATTAAATCTTGTATTATCTTAGAAACTGAGAAACTGAGATATGATTAACTTTGCATTTTCCTTATGTATAAGCTAAATGAATGTTTGTGATTAAGAAAAATAAAACGCTTACAACATTAGACACAAAAATACTAGTACGTACACATTTTTGTATGTGTACGTGATTAAATAGCATTGTTGTTGTCAATATCAAAACATATAAATAAACAAATTCACTTCTTTTTATTACTTTAATTATTGCTTGAAATATTCTTATGGTGGGGAAAGCGAGGAGCTTAGGACAAATGGGGGACTTATACTACCGAATAAAAGAAGTAGTAAAAGATTTCTTGATTTAAGTTCTATATTAAATAATACCTAATCATCAAAATGAAAATGGCATATATATTTAAAATCGTATTAATATGAAATAGCATTTTACATAGTTACGCTAAACCTTATTTTGAATTGTTTCCGTTGTTTTAGTAATACTGATAAGACAATGGTGACTTGTAGGTAAACATTAACAGATTCATTTTAGAATTTTAAGAGAATGTCAATTGTTCGATAGATAAAAATGCTCTAGACCATGTTCAATTTCTATAAACCATTGGCTTTTTGACAATTTCCAGAAGCAATAGCATTTCTCTAGTGAAAAAAGTTATCCGTAGAGAATCCATAAACACGTGCTTGACAGGACAAGTAAAAGCCAAAATCCACTACTGAACGCATTTAATATTGATTTGTTATACATGGCCGATTTACGCCATGTCGTATTTTCGCATTGTTGCCTGGAAAATGCGAAAAAGCAAAAACACGAAGGGACAACAAAGCGAAAATAGTTAGTTTAAACATATTTTATTTCCAACATTTTTCACATACAAGGTATACATACAATGGTGAAATAATACAATACAATGCTGAAAAAGGATCAGATCCGAAAGCATAAAATGCTTATAAAGACCTTTTCCTGGCATAAGATTAATTACTATAAATATGACGGGTTTGAAAATGTTGAAATATTGATGTTTAGGTAGAAAAGTAATTGTTATAACTAGTTGATTACAAAAAATGAAGAAGATTCGTTACTATCGTCACTAAATCAAATTAGCGACCTACAAACAAGAAGGGGTGTTGAGTAGAAGTTTCTATCTGAAAAAATGTATGAAAAGGGACTTAATAGATAAAACGCAATAATTGTCTGTTTATAAATGTATAAAGTTTAGAATTTCATAATTTAAGATACACAAAGATTCTTAATTTAATAAGTAGAAGAAAAGAGGAGGATATATTCGGTGAGTAAATTGGAGGAGCAATGTATCATAGACTATGAAAAACGTTTGCTGTCTCGGATAAACATTTGAACTGCCTGAAATATGCTGATATTGATATCGTCACTTAAGTTTGTATCGCCGTTAAGTAGTGTGTAAAGAGTGATATTACAGTAGGCTGAAAGAGTTTGGAAGAGGTTGTGTCTGATAGTACTGTATTGTTTGCATTCAAAGAAATAATGATGGTTAGTTTCTGGCAATCCACATTGACATAGAGGTGAGTTAACAATATATTTTTTCTGTATAGATGGTAGTTTAAAGAACTGCACTCTGTTCGTAGACGTGCATGATATATTTGCCATTTTCTAACACCTGTATAGAAAAATGTTGGACATTTTTCTATGTTTCTATTCTAAAGACACTTAAAAGCAGATAATGTAGGTGCATTTTGTACATCAATTGGTAGTTCATTCCATTCTCTGAGAGCTGAAGGAAGAAAAGCGTTATAGTATAAAGATGTTCTTGTGTGAATGCCTTGTATATTGTTCGAATTTCTTAAATTATAACGTGTGATTTCACCTACAGACGACAATAGTCGATAGGTAGACAGGAGAGAGTCCATTTTTCATCTTATAAAGAAGAATCAATTTATGTTTCCTTCTTCTACTGTCAAGAGGTTCCCACGGGACCTCTCGTTGAAGCTCATGAAGAGACACAAGTTTAGTAGCACCAGATACAATTCTAGAAGCTTCATGTTGGATTTTATCTAGTTCAGCTTTTTCAAATTGAGTACAATTGATGTAAACAACATCGGCATATTCTAGAATTGGCCTGGTGTAGGATAAGTAGATTATTTCTAAAGATTTTCGATCAATTTGAAATTTTAATTTGCCCATTATATGTATACGTTTCCACGCCCTCTCCTTAACATGAATAATGTGAATATGTCAGGAACCATCGTCAGAAAAGTGTAAGCCTAAGTGTGTGTGAGATGTCACTGAAGATATGGTCTGGTTTTGCATTTGAAGGGGTGGATGGAACTGTTGTGATGTTTTACGTGTGATTTACATGGTTTAAGATTTGGAGGGATTAAACTTGACTAGCCATTTGTCAGCCCATGAAGAAATCTTGTTTATATCAGATTGAAGAATGTCAGCCGTAGTAACTGGATGATCAAAGCGAAAATACGACAGAAGGAGGGCGAAAATACCATACATAAATTATGTCGTATATATTCGCATTCAATCTGTCGTATTTTCGCTTGTTCGCATTGTTACATTTTCGCTTTTTCATATTGTTACATTTTCGCATTGTTACATTTTCGCATTATCGCGTTCGGTTGCACATGCGCATGGAGACATCAATCTGAAAATATCTAAACGTTACAGCTAATGACATTTTCTGTACCATTCATTTATTGTTTGCCTGCGTTAAGTACCGTGAACTAAGAGAAGCACAGTATAATACAATATGATGTAAATACAATATGTTTATTGATTTTTTTCTATGAGTTTTTATTGTTCTCCTTTTATTGATATTCGAGCAACATGGGAAAGACAGAATGACCATCAAGAGATCTTTGTTTTAAAGACCTCAGGAACGCCTGACAACATGGTATAATATAATAATGAATAAAAATGATTTTACATAATTATTATTAAAAAAAAATTAAATTAAATTTATCCGACATGCACTCTACTTTATCAGATAAAGTATGTCTTAAAAACTCTAGTACTAGAATAACAACCATTATAAAATGTTTTCCTGTGAAAATACACCTCAATCTAAGACATATCTATTTTAAGATGTGTGCGGGCAGTGCCTTTATCGTAAATCTCATGTCACACCCGTCAGCAAAATAAACTGATAATCTAAAGATGGTAGGAACAAATTACTGTATTTATTATAATAATTGTTGCATTTATTGATTCAAAACAATCTGAAAGCCTTACCGTTATATTATTCAATTATTTTACATGTGTAAGGAGCGGTGTGATACTTTTAAATCATACATCTACGTGAATACAACATATCTTATATAGGACTATTAAATAACGAATTGATGTCTCCATGCGCATGTACAACCGGAACGCGAAAATACGAAAATATAACAATGCGAAAATGTAACAATGCGAAAAGGCGAAAATGAAACAATGCGAAAATGTATCTATGCGAAAAGGGAACATGCGAAGAGTCGACAAAGTAATACTTTGTCGTGTTTTTGTGTTTTCGCATTTTTGTATTTTGAACGCGAAAAAGCGGAAATACGACAGATGGAATGCGAATAAACGATAGATTTTATGTGTCGTATGTTTGCCTTCTTCTGTCGTATTTTCGCTTTGTTGCCTCGAAAATGCGAAAACACGAAGAGACGACAAAGTCCAACTTTGTCATCCCTTCGTGTTTTCACATTTTTGCATTTTGAGGCGAAGAAGCAAAAATACGATATGGCGAAAATCAGCCACCATACAAAACATTTTGTGTACCTTTAAGGTGCTTTTCCCCAAGAAAACTTTAAGCATGGAATGTTGAAATGCTGGTAATATTTTAGTATTATAATAAGCTGATTTCATAAATATTTAATTTACATTAATTTACAATGACTAATGTCCACACAAAAATTTAGTGTCAAACATTATATAGCAAATTATATTAACATTATATAACAATCATATAGCAAATA